TCGCGCCTGAATTTCCGGCAGCTCATGGGGCATCTATTGCGCGTGTTTTAACACCATAAACGCATCCTAAGCGTTCGTGATTTCGGAGCAGCGGGGGGGGGGGGGGAGGGGTTCTGAGGACCACTGCACGACGACCTACGGTCGGCCGGCTGAGAGGCGGATGGGAGAGGGGCGGCAACCGGCGATGCCGCGCAACGCGGGCGGAGGGACGACTCTGTTACATCGACGAAGTCATTCATCATAAACACACGGTCAAAACACGTCAAATTATGTCCCATTGTCTTTAATTGAGCGGGGAACACGCCTGTTTAGGTCACGTGTTGTCACGAGGCATGGCCCTGTGTGTATGGTGTAAATCTGAAACGGTGCGATTTAAAACATTCGTAATTTCACCCCATGCAGACAGTTAACGGACGTTGGTTAGATGTGTATGTACTATGTTTACCTTAAAATGACTGGTAACTCGAACGGCTGGTACACAAACGTTGTTAAGGCAGGTAAAGGCCTGCAAGAGACGAGTTGCATGCGTGTAATTATGTTAGGAGTAAAGGAAGCGTCCTTTGAAATGGTCTTCCAGCTAAGTCTTGTTTTATTTTGACAGAGCCGCTTGGCTCTGCCATGTTGTGTGCTGTGATGTGCCGTGGTGTGCTGTTCTCCGCTCTATCGTCTCGGTCTTGATCTGTTCTGGCATGTCTAGAACCTGTTGGATACACCTAGAAACTAAATTATACGACAAACTCCTTTTTAACTCACTCAGCCCTCAGCTCTCTTAGCCCTTAGCCCTCCGCACAGCCCAGTCTTTCTCATACCTTGCGATACCATTTGCTCCCTTGCCTTGTGCCATTATCCCCTGCCCTGTTTCATCCTCATCCTGCCTCCTGTCCTTCACTCCTCTACGCTGTGCATTCCCACTTTGCCCCATCTGCTGATTTGTCCAAGCCTGCTCTGTACTGTTCTGTTGCCTCCTTGACTGACTTGACTTGACTAGGACTTATGTATGCTATTCCTTTCTTGTGCTCTCAAACTAATTAAGCCTCCCCTGAGAAGAGGGTCGGTGTGGTGGAGAATACCGTCGAGGCGCCCTCCCGTCCCCAAGGTTTTTTGAGGATATCTTTCCGGCATTTGCGCAACCGTGCCCAAGTCTTCTGCCTCATCTGGGACATTCGTTACGCGTGCTTGGACACAAAAAAACGTGTCCACAGCATCTGGCTTCTGAAAAGCGACCTTTTTAGGAACACTGCACGGCAATCTTAGGCCGGCGCGGGCAGCGGGCGGCAACCGACAAAGCTGCTGTTTGCGACGGTGGGGACATATATATATATATATATATATATATATATATATATATATATATATATATATATACACAAAACTAAGTGTCTTATGCTCAATTAGCCGACGTATTTGTGCAACTTTCACAGCGGAGTGGGTGGCATCGGCTCCCCCACCCTCCTCGCCCCCATCAGATCTTTTGTTGTGAAGAACAGCGAGTCAGGGCAAGGGCTGAGCTCTCAACTGGAGTTCAGGCGTGTGAATGGCGTACCCTGCTTACTTGTATAGATGTAAAAAAACATTGGCAAGCGTCAACTTTAAGCGTGAGCGATAATGCCAAATAACTTGGCCCAAAATGGCAATGGCTGGACAGGTCGTCGGCGAAATCTGGGCCTTACTCAATACTTGTAGCCCCAAAAGTACACCCGCTAAGCTAACAGCATATCTGTTTCAAGCCGTTGATCGATATTTCGGAATGCCATAATGTAAGTAAAAACTGACAGGCTACTAAAAACTTGGCCCACGTATCTCAAACTACGAAAAGCTGAGTTCGACATAAAAATTTAGCGAGGTATCATATGCCCAAACTCAACGTTTTAGAAAGCTTGGACACTGCTTTGAGATACACATTTTGAACCCCATCAAAACGGTTCGCTGTGACTGACCTTGAGCTTCAACCGAAAATGTTTCAGGTAGGTGAGTATGCCCACCGTACGTTTTCAGGTTCTGAAACCTGTAAGCTTAACGTCATTAGCCTAGTAATCTTTACCGAGATCGATCGATGAGTCCTGAATATCGATGTAAAGCTTGATATAAACTGCCGCTAGTTTGACCGGCGTCCCAAACATTGTCTTATGTTGGGTTTAGCCGTGCCATAGTGCCCAAGTTCTCAGCGTGCTACTTGGTCCAGAAATCAACCACCCTGCAACGAGGACACTCCGGTAGTTCCTGGCAATATAATAGTGTTTTTAATATTTTCTATGGAAACATTCGCAATAAACCTTCCATTAAGCTTGATTTTTTTTTAAAAAAACAGCTTGATTGTGGTCTCACCTCATTGTTGGTTTTGAGGTATACTTTTTGCAGAATATCATCAGAAGAGGTCGACTAAATGATAGCTTTTTAAGCAGCAGATTTGTTCAGGCATGCCACATCAAGAATCAACAAAACTGGTGCCTACCACATTGACGGGACGGTCAGTGACCGTCATCTGAAGTACATGAACCTTCGTAAATCTCATCTTTTGAAATGTTCCGGTCTTGCAAATGAATTGCCGCTGTTTAAATGCTTGTTTTAATACAAACTGTTGAAGACGGCTGGGTGTTTTTCACCGGCTGCTAAGCAGGTGATTAGCGATGCATGATCGTAACTTTCTATCGAAAGCCGGAATTTCCACCCATCTCCTGCTCTTGCTCCTCATTCAGTAGGGTCCACAGCCTTTGCCACATTCGAATGTCAAGTCATGATATCCTCTTCGGCAGCTTATGCGTAGATGCGTGTGACGGGGTACTGAACAATATGCGTTGCAAACTCGCATTGTCAGTGCTGTATCATCATATAAGCAGTCCATCTCGCCACTTTTTTACACAACGTGATGCACTGTCAGTGACCCTTTTTACCGCAAATCATCTCTAAAGTTTGTCGCGACGCATGCGAACGAACGGCCGTCCGTCCCCTTTCCTGTGCGTCCCGCCTCAGACTGCGGCGTACGCCCGGAGCTGGGGGAAGAGCGGTTGGGGGGACGGGGGTCCGCCGCTGTGCGTGGGAGAACCGATTCAGTGCTCACTGGATGATGCGGTATGGAAATGCCACTACGTTCTGTCTACAAATCTGTCATGAAGTCAAGGTAAAAAGGTAAAAAGGTACAAGGTAAAAAGACATGCAATATACAAAAGTGTGCTGGATTTTAAACCTAATAAGTCATCTATTTTTGTAATTAGATTTTTACAATTTGAGAAAACGATTTGTTTATGTACATCGTGTATCATTTTAGCATAATGGCGCGTGTAATGCGACCAAACGCTTGGCCTGCCAGGCCTTGGTTGATTTTTGGGTCTTTGATAAACACCTTCCTAGATACTGTGGCTTAAGCATGTGTTGATTTCTTAAAGAATGAAGAGGGAGAAAATGTTTTTAACTTAACTGTGGCTTTATCGTTCTTATTTTCTTAGAATTGTGTGCTCAAAGCTGGATAAAAGTCTACTGACAAAGTTTCGTTCAAATCCTAGGGGGTCGGGTGGCAGGGATTGATTGAGTTGGCATGAAATGACCTAACAATAGAATATTGTTTACCATTTCAAGGCTCAGCACGTAGGTGTGCAGGCATTACATATACCACGACTGTCACCAGAAGTTTTCGACGAGTGGGCGGGCTGGATACGGATGGGAGGGAGGGGCAAAATAGCAAGTCAGAAGGGCGCAGCGGGCTGCTAGTAAAGGTACAGCCCCAAGAGGATTAGGTTACGTCACTGACATGAATTAGTGTGGGAACGGCCAAAAAACACCTCTATGGATTATTTCACCTTTTACTGTATAATATCGTATTTACTAAATTGCCGTGTTTTGTGTTAAGATTTAGGGCACTGAAAGATGGTAGAATGCTGGTGTGGTTTCATTCTATGTGTTGTACACTAGCGCCGCCAGTAGACAATGATGACTTCCCTCGGTCATGCTGTCGTTTGGCTGTCGTAAGTTCCAAGCAACAGTTGTCAAGGGTGGACATTTTAGAGGTGGTTCCCAAGTTATTTCGAAATTGACGTTTATAGCGTGCTGAGTTTAGGCTGCATACAGATTTTTGGAAAATCACAGCCATAGGCACGCGTATGGGTAAGACATTTACGAAATTTCAGGTACCCACTTCGCGCATCAATACACAATATTACTGCCTTACTCATTTTAGCCAGGATTACTTTTAATCGCACTTCGCTTGCAACTAACCAAGTAAAATAAATTGGTTCTGGTTCATACTTTACTGAAACCTTTCAATAGCGTAAACGCACACTGGTGGGTAAGCTTTGGGTCCCAGTGATCAGGAATGAGTAGTGCGTGGGCACGGGCACAGCCTACAGGGAGCGGTTGGATTGGGAACAGGAAATTTTGCCCGTGAAAGCCTCAACGTTACAACGTGGGTTCAAGCCCGCGTGTCACAAAACAGCTGTTCATCGACTAGCATGCATGTCATGATCCTACCTACACCCAATTTCATCTTCCTCGCGGCTCTAGATTGGTGACAATGACAAAGAAAGGCCCATCTTTCGTCAGGACCCATTTCGTTAAGTACTGCTCCTTACCGACTGGAATCGATTTAAGCCGATGACGCAGCCGCCAGTCTGTCGTCGAGGCTCATCACCGCATCAGACCGCGCCGCATGAGCGTCTGCAGTTGGGTCCCAAAGGAGAAGGGTGCGAAGGTTGAGCACGCGCGCCGCATGTGACCATGACATGGAAGACATCGGATGGGGTGCCGCTCGAATGCTCCGGTGACAGCCTCTCCACCGACCGCATTCGGTCGGCTAGCTCATTACTCCGGCATTCGGGGGACCATCAGTTCAAATTATCTGCTGCGCCTGTGGATCATCTCGCTGGGCACACACGGCTGCCGACCGCAAAAGTACGTACTTCGCACACGTGTGTGCACACGTAGCTCTACAGACGTTTAAATTGTCGATCTACTTTGCTATGTAAGCGGGATTACTGCACAGGCCAACCAGGCTTCTGGTCTCATTTCAGGTTAAGTAGCTGGAAGCGAAGGTTCTCGAAGCAGTCGTCCACACAGTATTGGAAGCGATATCTTAGCCAACAAGGTCAAGCGAATTTCGTGGAGCTCCTAACCCGTATGGCTGCAGAGAAACCTCTGATATACGACCGTCACGTTAGCTACATTGACTTCACACGGTGAGTGCGTATTTGTTGTTAGTGTTTCCCTCTGTCAAGGCTTCTTCGTCCTTCCGTTCGATGGATGAAGTTGCGGGCTTATAAAGGGTAAATGAATGATATAAGGATTGTATCTGAAGTCAGTGATCTCTCATGCATTGCATAGAACACTACTGCACTATGCACTGAGCCCTAAACGTCAGAACCTGACGAGACTCACTGCAGAACCCATGCGCCTCTTCTCCGAACTCGAACTCCTCCTACGGTGCCCGAATCCTCGAGTACGGACTCGGTCCGGTCGGACTGGATTTGGAGGCGCCAGCGCCTTTTCCAGCCGATGGACTGCTTTTATCTGCAAGGCCCCGAGCGCATACCGGTACCAAGCCCATACCGGTACCAAACCCATACCGGTACCAAGCCCATACCGGTACCAAACCCATACCGGTACCAAGCCCATACCGGTACCAAGCCCCTACCGGTACTAAGCCCAGACCGGCACCAAACCCATACCGGTACTAAGCCCATACCGGTACCAAGCTCATACCGGTACTAAGCCCATACCGGTACCAAGCCCATACCGGTGCCAAGCCCAGACCGGTACCAAGCCCATACCGGTAGCAAGCCCATACCGGTACCAAGCCCATACCGGCGGCCGAGCGCAGGCGGCGACATCGCAGTCGAGCTAATGTCATTGCTTTCCCTGCAGTGCTGGGACAATGTAGAAAAGAGGACAGAACGTGTTGGAGTTTACTGCTACGCAGACTAGAAATTGATATGCATGAGGAAGTGGTATGATCAAAACAGGTGATTCTATGAAATGACACGATCAAGGTCAGTCTGGACTTGGTGCAACAGTAGTATTCAGAAATTGCTAAAAGAAATTATGGCACACCAGGGTAGGTTCAAAACCGTTGTTGCGTGGGTGTCGTGCTCAGTTGAGGAATCAGTGCACCCAAAAACGCTGTCCTGGGCACATGTCATCTAGTTCGTGCAAGGCTGAAACAGCATGCCGTTCACTCTCATTGTTGTGGCTTGTAACCCATATCCGTCATATCCATATCATATCCGTCACATATCCGATTTCTTTATTGTGATCATTTTCAATTTTGCCTTTTTCCGATGCATCTCCACTTTCCGATTCCATGCTTGCTCTCGGTTGCCAAAAATGCCGTTATCGCTACCATAAAAGGTTTCACGATGTTAACAATGGGTGTCTTGTATTGTCGGCAGTTTCAACAGATCACAGCCCATCTACGTCAACTTGATCCGGGACCCCGTTGAGCGGTTCATATCGCTGTTTTATTTTCTGCGGATGCCACGGAGACGCAGGGGCAGAGGTCATACAGCAGATCTCGGCTGGTGAGTGTTGTGCAGCATGCCCACGGGCACTGGGGCTGCTGCTCCTTCCAGTTGTCTGTATCTGGCCCATCTCCCCCGCTCCAGACAGGTTCGATGGCAGTCAGAGGCGGATTCAAAGGGGGAAGCCGCGGGGCCATGCCCCCCCCCCCCCATCCATTGGGCCCCGAAGGGGCCATTGGCTCCGCAGAGGTCCATAGTTCAAACGTAAAACGCAACAAAATTGGGCGTCGTTGTTCTGGTAGGTGACCAAGAACAATCGCAAGCGAAAATAAAGGGCCCACGAGTATACAAATGCAAAACTTCAATGACTGGATAGCCATTATTTGGAAATTTTAAGCCTCATTACGCTGTCCAGGGGTCTATGCCGTTTTTGGGGACCTATATGCCCACTTGCAGGGTAATTCTGATCGTTTAGCCGCTTTGAACTTTGCCCTTGATTTTTAGCATTTGCTGGAGGGGCCTGCGCTATTGCTGGGCCCTTCCTGCTAGGGTGCCGAGGCGCTCTTGTTAATCAGGGCCATTCGTCGGAAAGGCTCTGTGAGCCTTACCTGGGGGCCCATACATTAACATGCCGGGGCATTGTCGGTTTCCCAAGCGCCCTTTATATCGGTCTCGGTTAACCTACCGACACACTCGCGATATGCTCATGGGTCCTCTACATTTATCTAGGGCGCTTCCAACTCTCTGTGACTTGCTTAGGGCCCTTCACTCTTGCCGTGCGCCCTCTGTTTATCTCCTTGGGCACACTGGCTGTTCGGGGCACACCAACTTGGGTACTGGGTGCTTCCTATTTGAATAAAGGGCCCTACACACTTGTCAGGGCCGCACCTGTTTACCTGCTCGGGCACATGGAGTTGTCTGGGGGCCCTGCACAGGGCCCTGGGGACCCTGGGTGTCTTAATCTAGGGCCCACGCCTCTGTCGGGGGCCATCTGTTTACCTGCTCGGGTACACTCAATCCTTTGTGGGCCCTCCACACTGGGTCTTGGGCACTTCTTGTTTGAATGGGGGGCCCTCTGCGCTTGTCGGGGGCCTATCTGATAGCCTGCTCAGGCATATTCGATCGTTCGGGCCCTGCTACATTGGATCTTGCCCTGCTACATTGGATCTTGGGTGTTTTCTTTTTAAATGGACTGCCCTAGCGCTCATCGGGGCCTCCTCTGTTCACCTCTCCGGCGACACTGGATTGTTCGGCGGCCATGTTCGTTGGGTCTTGGTGTTTGAATTTTTCGGGGGCTCCTCTGTTCGCCTCCTCGGTTACACTGGACCGTTCGGGGGCCCTGCACGTGGTGTTCTCGTGTAGCTCTTGGTGTTTGAATTAATGGCCCAACGCTCCGTCAGGGGCCATCCGACAATCTGCTCGGGCGCACTCCATCTTTCGGGGGTCCTCCGCACTGGGTTTTGAGTACCTCGTATTTGAATGAAAGACCCTACGCCCTTGTCGAACCCCTTCTGATAAGCTGCTCGTGCACATTTAACCGTTAGGTGGCCATCTACATAGGGTTTCGGGTGCCTCTTACTTGAATGGACGGCCCTACGCTGTTGAGGGGGCCCTATCTGTCAATCTGCTCCGGCGCATTAGATCATGCTGGGGCCCTCCATATCGTGAAGTGGGCATTTCATATTTAAACGGAAATCCCTACGCTCTTGACGGGAGCCCTATTTGTTAACCTGCTCCGGCGCACTTGATCACCCCGGGGCCCTGCATGCTGTCTTGAGTCCTTCCTCTTTGAGTGGATGGCCCTTTGGTCCTGACGGGCCCCATCTATTAAGCTGCTCGGGCCGGTGGCGGATACAGAGGTGCGGGAGACGGGGAAAGCACCGGACCACGCCCACGGACCATGACGAGGGACCCATAGGCCTTGAAGTGGCCGATAACCGGCTGAACGGACACAGCTTTCTAGTAAAAACACAACAAAATTGGACGTGTGTGGGCCTACAGACGACATAGAACGGTTGCAAACGAAAGTAAAGAGTTTATAAGCAAATAAGTTTAAATCCTTTTTAATTGAAGGGGTGGTGATTGAGAGAAATTGTGTGGCTCGTTATGCTCTCCAGACGCCTTACGCTGTTTCCCGGGTCATATATGTCCACTTGGTTAGTCAATCTGATAGCCAAGGAGTCTTCCACGTTACGCTTGATCTCTTAGCATTTTTCCATTTGTCCGGAGATGATCTAAACGCTGCTGTTGGGACACTATGTGCTCGCATGCCTGGGCATTCCTGATGAATCAACGGCCCTTCACCGATTCTTCCCATTCGCCAGAAAGGCTCCATACGCTTTTTCCGAGGCTCCATATGTTAGGGTACACTCAGCTGCTCAGGAGCTCTTCATATAAGTTTCGGGTTCTTTCCACTTGCTCGGAGGGCCTTGTGCTGTTACTGGGGCTCATACGAGGTAGGGCACCAGGCCACTCGATGCTCAGGGCCCCTCTACTTTGATAGAGGGCTCTTTCCCTTTGATCTCACTTGCGGAGGACTCTTCACTTCTATGAGGCTCTTTTTGGGAACCTGCTCGGGCACTTTTGATTGCACGGGGGTATTAATTCGTGATCTTGCATAATTTCCTTTTGCTCAGAGGGTCTTGTGCTCTGGCCGGGGCCTTACATGTCAGCCTGTCGGGGCACTACCTATCGTTTAGGGGCCCATTACGTTCGTCTTGAGTTCTTCCCCCCCCCCCCCCCCGAAGACCCCATGCTTGTTGACGGGAGTCGGAGTCTCTGTGTTGGCCTCGCAGGGCACCGATGATCGGTCAGGTCCCGACCTTATCAGCCCTGGTGTCTTACCCTCAGAGCAGCAGTCGTGTATGCGCTGACGAATTTTTACGCGTAATTGTCGAAGTAATTTGACGTGCCTCCTTTTTTGTTGTTCATTGGAGTTTTCGGGCGCATCGACTGCAGTGGTCATTTTGCGCCCATAACTATGCTGTTACTTAATTAGTACGGTGTGAAAATGACTTGAAAATCAATATCTTTTAAAAACGAAAAGAGCTGTTTGGGACCAAGAAAGGAGGAACTGTCACCAAGCACATCGTTTATCGTCAGGGTCGAAGCCTGTGAACCAAAGTGACGTCGTCGTTCTTCGAAGAGGCATGGACATGATATAATGACATGATGGACAGTCAGGACGGCACCACACCGCTGGCATAGGGGTCTGTCGGCTCCATGTAACAGATGGCCATGGGTGGCATAGGTATGCCCAATGCGCAGCCTGCATAAAACCACCTCTTCCCACCGCACACTGCGAGAGCATGACGACCACAAGCCCAACTCTGTCTTTATTGCCCTGAGCTTATTGCCCCCCACCTGGTCCCAACAGCGCTGCAATCTGCTTCTCAGGAAGGTCTTGACTGCCGGGTAAAAATCTCTAGCAGGGATAGGCAAAAACCGGGTATATGGTGCTACCGCTGCTCGCTTAGCAGCGGCATCAGCCAGTTCGTTGCCCACGATACCGACGTGACTAGGGATCCAGCATAGTGCAACTCTCTTTCCAACCCGATTCAATTGTGTCAGGCGTGATAAAATGTCCTGTAAAAGGGGACATGATGGATAAAAAGACTTCAGTGCAGAGAGACTGCTCAGTGAATCTGTAAAAATGGCGTGTGAAGATTCTTCACCCACTTCGATGAAACATATCGCCTTGGTGATTGCAACTAATTCCGCCGTAAAAACTGACGAGTGGGCCGGTAACGAGAACGATCGAGTGACGGACCCGCTAACGAAAGCACAACCCACGCCATCCGAGGTTTTGGATCCGTCTGTGTATGTCAGGGTGTATCCTTCATAACACGCCAAAAGCTCAACTGCCCTGGATCTCAATAGGTGTGGTGTGACGTCTTTTTTCCTAATTTCCGTAAGCGAGGTGTCAATGAAGGGTGTGGTCATTTGCCAAGGAGGAGAAGCCAGGCGGCTTACTTGCCTTACACCCCGAACAGGAATTCCGCTCTCAAGCAATAACGCTCTCATTCGGGAACCAAAAGTTAAAGCGTGCTGCTGCGGCCCATGACGAAGAGAACTTACTGCAAACCGCGAAAATATTGCAGAATATGTCGGGTGAAGTGGGAACTGCCGCAGCGTCAAGGCATAACGCATGACAAGCATTTTCCTCCTCGTCGAAAGTGGTGGTTCGTGTGCCTCCGTTAAAAGGCTGACGGAAGGTGATGTGCGAAACGCCCCAGTAGCAATGCGAATGGCAGTATGGTGGACGGTATCAAGAACACGCTTGCTGGATTCAGACGCGCCATCATAAACAAAGCATGCATAATCCAGTTTGGATCGGACGAGGGAACGATATAAAAGCATAATCGTGCTTCTGTCTGCCCCATACGATGTGCGAGACACACACTTTAGTATGTTGAGAGATTTAAAGCATCGATCGCGTAACATTTTAAGATGTGCGTTATATGTAAGGCGGCGGTCAAAGTGTATCCCAAGATACCTGGCCACGGCCTTATTTGGAATAGAGCGACCATATAGACGGATGCTCAGATCATCACATCGCTGGCGACGACAAAAATGCATCGCAACGGTCTTGTCGCCTGAAAAACGAAACCCGTTCATGTCACCCCATCTTTCAACGCGGTCCACAGCCAGCTGGAGACGCCGCTCCATCGCTGGTGCTCTCGCTGCACTGGTCCAAATAGTAAAATCGTCAACAAAAAGGGCACGTCCGACCGACTGTGGGAGCACATCACAAATATCATTCATCATAACTGCGAACAGTGCAACACTTAACACGTCGCCCTGGGACACGCCGTTTATTTGTTCGTACCTGTCGGAGAGGACGTTGCCGACCCACGGAAGTATCGTTTGGCTAAAAACCTTTGGAGAAAAGCACCCATATGGCCACGTACACCATATTTAAAGAGCTTTTGAACAATACCATGGCGCCATGTGGTGTCATAGGCGGCTTCAATGTCGAAGAATACTGTCCCCATATGCGCTTTTTCTTGAAAAGACTTGCGAACCGTGGTGTCCAGTGTTAAGAGATGGTCCACCGTACTACGGTTTTTCCTAAATCCGCACTGCAAGTTACTAAAAATATCGTTCTCTAAAAACCAAGTGAGTCGCACGTTTACCGTCTTTTGCATGAGCTTGGACAGTGATGACGTCAGTGAAATGGGTCGGTAATGAAGAGGGTCCAGCCCACCCTTCCCCTGTTTTAGGATAGGCACCACAACAGCTTCCCGCCAGGCCGGAGGGAATTCACCTCTTGACCACACCCTATTGAAAGCCGCCAATAGTGCACGACGTGCACACGGAGGCAGATGTCGGAGCATCTCATTGTGGATGTCATCAGGACCTTCCGACACACTACGAAGTCTTCCGATTGCCGACTCCAACTCCACCAAAGTGAAGGGCTCATTGTACGCCTGTGGTTGCCTTGTAGAAAAGTTCACTACGGTTTTTTCGGATTGTGCTCTTTGCCGTAAAAACTGTGGGCTCATGTTTGCACCTTCGCTACGGTGGGAGAGTGCTCGGGCGATCCCGTTAGCCACATCCAACGGATGAGTCACCACCTGGCCGTTAACATGTAACACAGGAAGTGGCACGGATGAAAACTGCCCGGAGATGCGTTTGATCCGAGCCCACACCTGCGAAGTTGGTGTGAATCGGTTGAGCGTGCTTATGTACATACGCCAGGATTCACGTTTCGCTTCTTTTATCGTGCGGCGGGCGAAAGCCCTGGCTTTCTTAAAGGCTACTAAATTCTCCAAGCTACTTCTGGCGTCAAAAGCTCGGAAAGCACGTTTGCGTGCGCGAATTGCGTCACGACACTTCTCCGTCCACCACGGCACAGGAGTGCGACGAGGAAATCCAGAAGTGCGCGGGATGTAATCGCTAGCGCAATCTAGAAGTCTGTGAGTAAAATCCTCAATAGAGGGTGCCACCCTCACACCTCCGGTCTGACATAATGTCTCCAGTCGAGCCTCAAACTCTCTCCAATCAGCCTTTTTAAAATTCCAACGTCGTGGTCTTACACCCAACGTTCCTCTTATTTGGAATCGAAGCCACACTGGGAAGTGATCGCTGCCCATTGGATCATCTGCCACAGACCACTCGAGGCTCTCCACCAGCTCGGGACTAGAAAGACTCAGGTCAAGCGCGGAAGTCTGACCAGACGGCAGTGTAAAATGAGTACGAGTCCTTGTGTTTAAAATACACAGTGACGAGTCACGGATAAAATGTTCGCACATCCTTCCGCGGGTGTTCGTGCTATCACAGCCCCACGCGGTGTGATGAGCGTTGAAGTCGCCTAAAAGAAGACATGGTGAAGGCAACTCATGCACTAAACGTCTCATGTCTTCCAATGGAAAACCGACGCCAGGTGGAAGATATAAAGAACACACCGTGATGTGACGGTGATTAAAATGTAGGCGTGCGGCTACAGCCTGTAGCGTAGACCGCAGGTTAAACCTCCTGGCTGGCACGCTGTGGTGGACTGCAAGAAGGACACCGCCATGTGCGATACCGTCAGTTAACACATCGTTGCGAAACAGGGCGTATCCCTTCAGCGTGCAGTGGTGACTAGAAGCAAGCTTGGTCTCCTGCAGCGCTACGGCTGCAGGACAGTGCTTGCTACGACAGCCTGGAGGTCGAGGGCATTCGCCCTTATTCCTCTACAGTTCCACTGTAAAAAGGCCTGTAAAGGGGGCGTGTTAAAAAGCCGGTTGGAGGTCACATACTAAAACCGGGCACGTCCTAAAAGAACTGGGCTGCGCCAGTCGCAGAAGCAGACTTTTCTGACTGAGAGCCACGGTTGGAATCTGTAGGGAGGTGCCCCACTCTGGGACGAGTTCTGGGGCTCCCGCCGTCAGATGGAGACGGGGGACCGGCCGGGGCACGCTTGACGCCAGCGTACCCGGTCCGGGGTGGCGGCGGGGGAGGGCCCATCGGCGGGCCTCTACCGGGCGTCTGGGGGTCAGCGGGGGCCTCCACTGGCCTTCTCGGCGATGGTGTGCCACTGCGAGGGGTGGGCTCCTTGCTTGCAACGGACAAGCGATTGGCCGTCTTAGCCCTCTCCAACTCCGCTAGGCGGGCCCGCTTGGCGTCGCGGGCGCGCCTGTCCGCCTCATGCCGTTCCATCGTTTCCGCTGCTCGTCCACACACACTCGCCAGCGTCGCCGGAGGCGACGAGGGCAGCGGAGTGACAGACGGTGAGGAAGGCCGAGCCCGCGGACCATGGCCGCGCTTGACCACCGTCCATCCCTCCTCCTCCTCCGCCTGCGACCCCGACGGCACAGCGTTGGTAGAGCAGGACGCAACTGAAGGACCAGGAGGATCCGACTGGGCGGGGGTCGCCCGTCCCGCCGGCACCACAGACAAACCGAAGGATCGCAGGAGCGTGATGAGTTGGACCGCTGACATGTGACTGATGCTGGTGGACTGTGGTACAGAGGTTTTGGATTTTTCGGCATAAGATACCTTGGGGTGATTAGCCTCATACTGTTCACGCGCCTCGCGGAAAGAAATGTTCTTTGAAGTTTTGAGTGATATAATTTCCTTTTCCTTCATGAAGGCTGGACAACTTCGATCGAAAGTTGTGTGCGGTACCTGCCCCGTGCCACAGTTCACGCACCAGGGCTGCACAGAGGTACACTGGTCTCCCGAATGCTCGGAAGATGCACACTTCCCACAGACAGCTCGATTGCGGCAGTGTGGTTTTGTATGACCAAAGCGCTGGCATTGAAAACATCGCATCGGATTCGGGACGAAGATCCTGACTTTGACTGCCTAGCCAATGCGGATATCAGACGGTAAATCAGGCCGGTTGAATGTCAATATAATGTTGTTTGTAGGGATTTGGTCATCACCCCTCCTGGTCGTGATCCTACGTGCTGCCGTGACCCCGAAAATTCCCAACTCTTCGATGATTTCCTCCTCGCTGACGTCACGAAGGTCATAGCAGTTTATGATACCTTTTGAGAAATTTTTGGTGTGGTGCGGTGTGACCGTGACCGGCACGCTCACGTCTCGCTTTGCACCCTCGGTTCTCGCGGCATATACAAATTCAGTTACAGTCAAAGCTCGAGTCGCATCGGTGCCGTTTGCGAACTCCACTTCGATCGCGCCGTCCCTCAGCTTGTCACAGCGGGTGACTTTTCTCAACCTGTCGCATCCGTTTCGGCGCTGAAACGGTGAACGCGATGCCAGGTTCTTCACATCACTCCGGAAGACAAGAACGCGTGGAGCAGGTGGAACCGACTCCTCGCTGCACCCTAAATTCATCGCAGTCCGTCCCCCTCTCGGGGGGCGGGAGTTTTTTGGGTTTGTAGATGCCATGCAAGGTTGTTCTTTATTTCGGCACCGGGGCTCCCCACCCACCTCGGAGCCCAACTGGGGGACGGCCCACTCACCAGTTGGTGGTGGTGCCGCCAGGGCTACCTCGGTGCTATACGGGGCGGACGACGCCTCCCACACGGCCAGGTGTAACCGGGGAGACCCCTCCCCGTCCTGACCGTGGTTCAGCGCCGCCGCCCCTTGACCCCTTAAGCCGCTGCGCGAGGCCAGGCGCCCCAAGCGGAACCCGCAAGGAGCACCCAACCGCGACGCGAGCGACAAGCCGCTAGACCCGTGTGGGGCCCCACGGGCCCCCCGCGCCCCCGGATATCCTGGCCAAAGTGGAGTGTTGGGACGCGCCGTGACTGACCCGCACGACGCGCCCCTCAGCCACCAGGATCCAATCAACCCGAGGACGAGGGCGAGGGGGCACGGCGACCCCGATAAAACGAGGATCAGGAGTGATGAGTGGGCCGGATGCGGGAAAATGGGTAATGGGGAGGGAGCGAGCGGGACAAGGAGAAGGGGCTCACGTACCGGCAGGGTCGCTACGCCCTGAGAGGAACAGCTTGCGCTGTCCACCCGTTACCGGAGCTGGGACCCGAGGGGGCGCTAGTCCCCTACACCGACCGAAGCCGGTGCCCCTGCGGGGTTTGACGTGCCTCCGACGTCGCATGTGTCATTTCCCTTGGCGGTTGAATGTGTGACACTTATCAAAATTATACATCACGTTCTTAACATATTTTGAATGCTAGAATATTTTGCACTCATTTATCACAAATAAAAAAAATATACATTAGTTATCGGCCATCAGCTGATTGCATCGCCAGCCGGCTAGCCGTACATACGCTAGAAATCGAGTCGGCGCTTGGTTTTCATGCTATTTGTCAGTAAACTTGAGTTTATTTTGCCTATTTTTCCGGAACACTCAGGCTCAAAATCACAGGAATTAACGTGATCTGGAGAAAATGAATGAGTTCCATATATGTGCATGCACAACATGTCCAGCTCTAGCACAGTAATATGCATGTATTTAAATATATACACATATGTGTATATGTATATATATATATATATATATATATATATATATATATATATGTATGTATGTATATATGTGCTTTTGCTATCTAGCTTTAACATTTTATGGCCGGAATGCAAGGATGTTTTTTTGGAGGGAGCCCCAAACTCTAGGGGGCTCACAACGCTGCGTGCCACCGCCCCCCCCCCCTCTTAAGAAAATCCTGGATCCGCCCTTGATGGCAGTGATGAGAGCTGACGGCATTGCTCGGATCGTTTCGCTGCGTTTTGGTGTTAGTATTTCCCCCTGTCAAGTCCTCTCTGTCCTTACATTCAATGGGTGAGGTTGCGGGCCCAGTCCTGACGCCCAGTCCCGACGCCCAGTCCTGAACATGCACATTCGACAGCAGCAGGTGCTCGTCAGAGATGGTGATGCCAGAGGAGTTCTGCTCGACAGGCTGCACAAGAACCTGACCGCTTGCGTACGCGGAAACGACCCGGAGTGCTCCATCTCCTCCCAATACCGCCATCCCGGCCCGTTCGGCGACGAGTTCTTCCAGCCGATGACGTCATTCTTCTGCGGGCACGAACCCCTCTGCAGGTGCGTCGTTGGTTTTACGACCATGTAAGTCAATTTTGAAAGGCTGCACCGTCCAGTTGCCTTGCTCGAAAAGCCTGCGTCAAAAGTGTTTCAATCATGCATGCAACATAGTCGGCATCTGGGATTGTTGTGCGCAAGTTTGATGAGCCCAATAGTGCGTGCAGTGCTTCACTACAGCGCACGAGCCAGGGCGGCTGTTGTCCGTGGCAGCCCTCCCCTTCCTCGCTGGTGTGGGGATGGCTAGATGTTGTGCGATGATTCGACCGCCTTGATTCGATTCGATGCGATAATTTCGCTGCTGCGCTTTCGGTCGTGTGGTTCTCTGCATCGAGTTCGTCAGAATGTCATGATGTGCTCCCAAATAATGATTAGTATGTATGTATGTATGTATGTATGTATGTATGTATGTATGTATGTATGTATGTATGTATGTATGTATGTATGTATGTATGTATGTATGTATGTTTGTATGTTTGTATGTGTGTGTGTGTGTGTGTGTGTGTGTGTGTGTGTGTGTGTGTGTGTGTGTGTGTGTGTGTGTGTGTGTGTGTGTGTGTGTGTGTGTGTGTGTGTGTGTGTGTGTGTGTGTGTGTGTGTGTGTGTGTATGTGTGAATTACTCATTCATAAGAATACGGGTTTCTTCGGCGTTGCCGTCTTGCTGGCTGATCTATGACGTCTACCGCTCAGCCATTGCTTTGTGCGAGGCTTCCTTTCGCTTGTTCACCGTTGACTCATAGTGGCGTGCCTTGGTAGTGCGTACTTTGACGATTATGGAATGCCCAGATGTTTCTGGAACTGCTCTGCTGCCTGGAGGTTTATTTAATAGTCTACTAACGCCTGCTTACATCAGTTCTCTTAAAATGGAACGTAAGCGTTCAATATATGTATGGTGATTGGTGAGCTCCACTGCAGGGTCATCAGCGCTCTGCTAACGCCGAATGCGGACACGTCTTCGGCTGACTGTTCACATAGCCTGTGGACGTTCATGTGCAGCTTTCATAAAGCCTGTGCTATGTTCTACAGGGAATTCAACGACAGAAAAGCCCTGCAGAAGGCATTGCAAAACCTGGAAACCAATTATGCAGTCGTCGGAATCCTCGAGTCTTTTAGTCAATCCTTGCATGTGTTCGAAAAATATGTACCATACTTCTTCCAAAACATCGTGAAGATCACGCGTCGTGCAGGTGAGTAAAAGAGCTTCAGCGAGTGATGGTTGCCGAAGTCGTCGGTCCGCAAGTTGTCGTTCACTGCAGCTTGTGCGCGTATCGGTAGACGCCCGCGCTGCCACGGCCTGTACGGCAGCCGCCAAACTTGATGGCCCGCTGCTGTCCGCTTTCAGTGCGGAAACAGAACAGGAACGACGGGCGACCCTGGACATCGCCGGCGGTGAAGGCTGTCCTGGCCGGCCGGCTGTGGGCCGACGTGGAGCTGTACAGCTTCGCGAGCCAGCGCCTCTACCTGCAGTACCGCAGGATCGGCGGCTCACTGCAGGCTGCTCGGCCGGAGCAGCGCTGGCAGTAGCGACGGCAAGCACTTCACCAGTGACGCAGTCTGGGCGATGTGGTCAAAAAGTCAATACCGACTGTGTCGCGGACTTTGTTCTGCCTGAGTCCGGCCGCGTCCTAGCGAGAATTTATGGACCGGTCTGCACTGCTCCACTAAGTGTCAGTGCTGCTTTTTGTCATGAACCCCTACAGTTGTTTTCCTATTTTTTGTTTTTTTTCGAGACGTGGCTCGACCGCGCTGCAGCACTCCGTTCCTAATGTGCGTACAACTATACGAGCCTATGTGCGTCAGCGGATGGGGCAGATATTTCCGGTCACGTATTGAAGAGTGATGGTTAGGCCAGGAAGAAAAACTTTGCTCTTGACCGTACTACGCACTGTGGGATCGCGGCGATCCTTTGGTTTCTCTTGATGGTTCGGCAATGCTTGTTTCAGGCTGGTGACAATGAGGCGAGATTCAACTAAGAATGGTGCACATTTTGAAGCTGTGTGCTGCAGCATGAGTACGTTTTGCCCTCTGGCCTTTTAAGTCATCTAATTTGTCCTGTCGCGACAGCCCAGTTGGTTGGACGCCCGCGTTCCGGTCCACCCGCGGCGGGATGGGTTCGGGCCACTCTGGGTGCTTACTATTTGCTCTTGACTGTGGTGGCAGGTGGTAGCGGCTGCTTTAGCCCAGGTGACGTCAGAGGACAAGACCGACCGTTCCATCAATGCAGTTCGTTCAACATCTGCTACCTATTCCTGTTGTTAACCTGGAATTTTGTGACCAGATATAATTTACGGCGTAATGGGCAACACAATTAATATATAAGAGGGTAACTTGCAACAATATTATTTCGTAAGCTAAGAACCCTTTGAAGTTGCCAAAACGACCCCCAACAGGCAAAATATGCGTATGTCAATATGCGTATACATATACCACGCATGTACCACCGTGACCGCAGGGCAACTCGACTGGCCGGGGCCTAGCTCCCTTGCAGTTTTTTTAAATCACTTTTGGGAGGTTTGAGGTGAGCGTAGGAGTTTTGGGCCCTTGCCGCGTATTTTGTTTTTTTATTTGTATTATTATATATATATATATATATATGATATTATCTTTATTATATATAATTGCGCTTATTCGTTTTTAAGTAAATAAAAAAATCAATCTTTAAGTGTGTAATGCAAAAAGTGGACTTTAAACAACGCGGGTCAAAGCGTGTGCGTTCATTTGTTCCTCTACAATTAGCATTCCAATGTTGCCATCTAGTTTGCATTGTTCGATGTGGTTCACCAACCTGTCTCACTGTACCGGCCGGTGCCCAATCCCCTATCTCACCCTAACCCCACCCCTATAACGGTCACACCATATCGTCCAGAGGGCCTCTCTCACCCAGTGGTGCAGTTGGGAGGGTACAGGGGCACGTGTCCCCTCCCCCCTTCATTTGAGGGCCCTAAACGTCCAAAGGGCTGGCCGGGGTTCGTATTAAAAGGTGCATGCTACCCTTTTTTGTGCTTTTCACTTATTGTTCGATCACCCATGTCCAATTTTATCATTAACACTAGTTTTCTCGAAACCCTTCTGAAAAGCTCAGAATTTTGATTTGAGGTAGCCGCTCCAACGGCAGAAATCTCATTGCATTCCCTGTCCACCACTATGAAAGTGATGCATTTGATTTGCCTCGCTTTTCCAACGTGAGTGTTTTGTAATGTTTGCGACATACCAATGTGTTAAAATGGTTGTGTAATAAATGCTACGAAAGCTTCAGTCTGTTTAGACGAAAAGATATGCCAATATGAGGCTTCTATCTCGCGAATTCCACAAAACGCTATGCTATAGCTTTGATTTCTCCCGGACAGCGTTTACTACAGCGGCTCTTTACCAAGCCGCCGTTGGTGTTGGGAAACGGAGTGTTACATGGTCTGCAAGTGACGCACTGATTTAAACCGCAACCGATGCGCTTCTCAGTAACTGGCCCTTGCCGCCCGCTTTGCCAATCACAAACGCTCGTGCGCAGTGGCCTCACTCAGTAGCGGCTGACAGCGCAACCTCACCACCAAACCCCAGCCCCACCCCCAGCAGCTGGGAGTGGGCTTGGGGTAATCACCCCACAGTCACCCCGCCCTCTGGCGTAGTCACGTCGCAGTCATGGCTACGCGATGATGACGACGTTCTGCCGTTGTCATGACGACAGCTGTGGCGACTGCAGGGAAGAAGGGTAGTTTTCTTTCGAAAATAACAAAAACTCATCTTCTTGTTTCGTACTGATGGCACTCCAGCGGCACTGTTCAGTGCTGTCATGAGACGTAACTGGTCCCGAGGTTTCACAAGAAAATGTTTTGAAATATGTCCCAAAAGGTGGATAGCTCTCGTTGAGGGCTCCCGGCCCGAAGGCCCCGACCTTCAAATGCTAGTCGGAGGGCTCTACTCCGATTGGGGCTCCTTCAGTAACTTAGGGAGGGACCCCTCTCTACCCCGCCCCACCCCATCCCGCCTGTTACTATTACACCAGAGATGTATTATTGAGGCAGTCAAAACAAATCGATAAAATGGACTGCCGCTCATCAAGCCTGGGTTGATAAGGCATAAGAGACTTGAATTGGACTGCATAGATGTAAAAAATGCATCACAGGGTTAGACTAGCCTCATTGCAGTATCCCGAAAAAAACTCTGCAGAATATTTCGCTGCGTTTTCGGACATAATGAGCGTAAGGCCACGTTATTCATCATATTCAGCGCCAAGGTGCAATGCGGGACTGTCGAAAATTGTGGCCGTGGGAGACAACATGTGCCTTCTCCACGCTCCCCGCTGCACCTTACACTGAACTCCCCCACCCCCACCCCCACCCCCACCCTCACACCCACCTCTACCCCCACCCCCACCCCCCACCCCCACCCCCACCCCACCCCTAAAAATACAACTCCCGCGCGACAAGTTGTCCGTGGTCAGCTGCCCAACGATTCCGGTGCTTCAAAACCTCCCCACCGATCAAGCAGCGTCTTGAAAAAGTACATCTACATTGCATCTCACCTTCTTGCACAAGTGTCAAACTGTTTCCACCCGTTGAACGACAAGCAGGTTGGCCCGAATGAAAACGGCGCAAGCGATTATTTTTGATAAGTCATCGCAGACGATTGTGGTAACCCGACTGGGGGAACCCGGCTACAACCAGGGTCTGAGTGCTGTGCTAATGTAGTGGCTGTTACACACACACACACACATATATATATATATATATATATATATATATATATATATATATATATATATATATATATTTATATATTTATATATTATATATATGTATATATATATATATGTATTTGTATATGATTGTATATATATGTATATATATATATATATATGTATATATGCATATGTATATATGCATATTTCTCACCTGTGTGTGACTAGAACCATGTGGTGTCGTCTCCTGGTTTGATATGATATCGAAATAGGGAAATGAATGGACGAAAACCGGCCCTTACTCAGATGTGCCGAGCATGCCCCCCAGTATTCATTCGCATTACATCGGTTGTGGCTCAATTCACTGCAGCGACCCCGAAGTCTCAGCGCGCAAGTTTAAGAATGATCTGCAAGCTTCCTCATCTACTGGGTTTGGAATCCTGCCGGCTTACCGTTGCCGGTCCAGCTTCGACATTGTTTTCGGTTATGCAAGACGAACATAGTCATCGCCAATTCCCTTCGGCCCTTTGCATTATAGAGTGCACCAGGAAGTTGCGGAGGCCCGACGAATACGGCCTGCCAAGCCGGATGCCACGTCCGGGACTTGTCCTACTATCTCTGACACGTCTGAGGCTGTTGACTTGCTGCTGAGTGGTGTGCATTGTGCAGGATAACCCTGAGGCTAACACTGCGCGCCGCAGCCTGCCAGTGGGAGGTCACCGTCTCGCAGCTCTACGATGTCAGCTGCCGTGATTGTGACGCTCGCAGGGCTGCTGACGGCAAATCGAAGTGGTCAGCCGTTCAGGGTGTGTGACATTCCATGCTGCGTTGTCGCGCCTAGCTGCGCCGAAGCCTTGTCTGTAAACTGCAGCTGCTCCGACACGCAAGAGGTGAGAATATGTTCTTGGTCTTCTTCCATCGGCACTATAAACAATACCTTAGCTCCTAATGAGCTGATCTCGTACGCAAACAGCCACTTGACTCTGAATTCCCAGCGCCAGTCTTGATTCTAACATGGGTCATAAAGCGTGACGTTTTTATTGAAGTAGCAGCGATTTTCCTCTATGATGAAAACGGTCTCGTTCAAGCGCTCCTCTTCGTATCGAGATTGTATTTGAAAGGTTGGCCAAATTGAGATGTTCTCTAGGCGCAGATGAGAATCTGACCTGCACACACACAACGGGTGATATTTCGAAGCACGTGGATTTCCTATTGTTTTCACTCCATGCATTTCACCCATAAGTTAACATTGTTGTTTGAATTGTTGTTTGAGCCGTTTGGTCCACCTGACATTGTCGCCTGGCGACTGTCGAGGTAGGCTCTTCCAGAGGCCACCGTGTCAGATGAGGGAGGCATCAAAACACACTTTCGGTTAGATCTTGACGCGTACAATGAAAACGCGTACCCAAGGTGGTTGCCAAATAACAGGAGACATGAATGTGATGGACCGCATTGGGAAATGCGTACCAATATAAGAAAATCTCCGTCGTCCATGCACACAGGGTTGTTCCTGTCATTGTCCATGCACATGTGACACGTCATGAAGTGGAGTCCTGATCAACCACGCCCATCTCGGGGAAGAGACTACCGCAACGTCATCATCGCCGCAATTTTGTCGAAATAGGCTTTTGTTCATTCATATTTTTTGACGTTTTCCGCTGGTATCGCCTAGGTTGATTCGAATTAGAATCAACACCGGTAGCGTTCACTTTCGGAGCTCATGCACCGAGGAGCATCCTAATGTGACTTGGCAGAACGTCAGGCAAGCTAAGTTCACTCTAGTTTCAGCCAGATCGTTTCGTGTGGCGCCGGCTCTTTGTAAAAGTAACATCGCGCAGACGGCTCGTGTGTCCGCCTCGCTGACGGGCCTTATAGGAGGTGGCGAGTATCTCAAAAACGCACTTTGTTTGTATATTCATCTCTATGAGCTAGCTAACGAGGTTTCTAAGGTGATTGTAGAAAAGGCCAAGGCTGTGTCAGGTCAGGTTTTGCTGTTTCTCGTCTTATTTGAGCTTAACTGGTTTTATCAACCCGGCATTCGGCCCTGGGCACGCAGCCAAACCAAAGCATCGAGACCAGGCTCAAACTAGATTGGCTCAAGGTCGTGTAAATAGTGTGCACGACGATTATTGCGAGTGTAAACGTTTATAAGGTCAGCCAACATTAATGGATGCAAATCACCCGAAATGAAATCACATGGCAAAACATGCACATCACAACAATATGAGAAATTATGTACGCTTAGGTAGGTTTGCGCACTTAGGTAATGGTTAGTATTTTACGTTAATGCGTCATAGATTGAGTTACCCTTCACTGCAAACACCAACCCTGGCAACTCTGACAACGGTCATGTCAGGACACCTCTATTTCTTACCATTCTGTGCTGAGGGAATAGGCCCGAACTGAGGTAACCGACCACAAGGCCCGTGACTCGTGACTAATGGCCGTGAAAAAGATGAACCCGGACTCGGGCCCAGGATTCCAGAGCCTAAGCTCGAACTCGGAGTAATGTGGCATGTGCGTGTGCGGGAATGAGCGCGCGTGCGTGCACGTACGTGCGTTTACGTGCGTACGTGTGCGTGTGTGTGCCTGTGCGTGTACGCGAGCGCATATGCGTATGTGAATATGTGTATCAGTGGGGTGAATTTGATGCCATTAAATCAGCGCGTGGACCAATCAAGTCACCTGGATTTGACGCTGGCAATGTTTAGTTGATGAATCGCGAAGGCATGCTGCTGTTCTATGAGGGGGGGGGACAGATTCAAAATATAGGTCATGGTGTCACTACATACCACAGTTTAAGTCCTAACGGTGACAAGCTACGAACGCCGTCAGCAGAGGCGTCAAAAGTACAGGAATGTTAGCCCATAAGCCAGACGACTTTGTTAAACGTCAGTAGCTGTTTGCGTTGGTTTTTTTAGCAAGACAAGACATACACACGAACCAGATATATGAAGGAAAATTCTGACGAAATTTGGTGAGGGCCTGACGAATCTGTTTCAAAAACTAGCAATGTGCCTCATATATCTAGAGAATGGGGGCCACAACGAACACCATGGGTGGACGAATGTGCAGTGGAATGCTAAGCGACGCTACGTGGTCTGTTGAATGCAATTTAAAACGTCTAGAGCACAGGGAATAATTGGATAAACTCCTTTCCACGCTTTGCAGATGTTGTGCTAACTCGGATCTACCAGAACGCGTCATTAAGTTGCTGTGAAAAATGACATAAAGTGGCGCTCGAGGGATTGGGTGGAAGTAATGCACGAATAGTTCTTCTTTCATCCCGCTCACCTGCGCTGATCTTATCGAATCATCGTCTGCTGGCGCCGGCCCGCCTTGCCGATCCTCCACAAATGGGGCTGTTGTCTTCGCTTTATGAGTGATCTGGTCCGATTGTCCGCCTCCAAACCCGCGATTAAGAAACTCGAACCGCCAAAAATACGACAAAAGACAGTTTGCGTGCCTACCTACCACACAGTACATGCCTACGGCCTGCGCCAGGAGTGCGGAGAAGCGGGAGATGTATGCAACCAAACTTTTATGCATTTAATATTACGCCTATTGCACTGCAGGAAAACTCTCATAATACCCCGCCTTCTCCCTAGCTATCGTGTCATAGCCGCTGCACCTAACTACACACAACGTAAACTTAAAACTGATGCCGATAGAATTTAACACATGTGATGCAGGAGATGTCACTGATGTGGTGTTCGCTCCTTTAAGTATATTTGGTGTCAATTTGGTGTATATTTGGTGTCTAAGTTGCCAGAAATCAATACAAAGTTTTCATTAATGGGAATGTTCCACATTTGTATGGCGTTTTGAACTGAAATAGCCATATTGAAGATCATTCGGTGCACTTCACAGTTTTCTCAAGCCTTAAAGCTTTCCAGTTTCTGAGTTACACATCCGCAAACATGTGCAGACTATTTCGTGCAGGCTACGTCGAGGTTACCCAGGCATCTGTGACGCTATAATAGCATTATTCAAATCCTGCCATTCCGGCTCACCATGCGGATTTCAAGGAAACAGGAATTGTCGAGTCGTTCATATCTGGCGTACGGCAGCTCGATTTCTAGATAAAGCGATCGTCAGTTGGCTTTTCACCAATGCTGTGCAAATTACGCAACATTTTGACACAAATTACGTTTCGTGCTACAGAACTAAGGAAGTTACATATTCTTCCAAGCCTTTGCAGAAATAGGACTCGAGATCGAAATACTTTAAAACAGCGCTCTAACCGAGTATGTGAATACAAGTACTTAGACTTATGGATAAATATGCAAGAACATCACGAGAAAGAGCTAAAACACGAGCACCTAACTAAATTTGGTCCAGCACACATCCAGCACTGCCACAGGTCACCATGCGGGAAAATGAAGAACTACGAGTGAGTGCTGTCATACAACGTTCCACGACGCAATGAAACAGTGACGTACTGAGGAGCCTATTAGTAAGAGGAAAAGTTCTAGATCAGTTCTTGTTCAGTTCTTAAAATCAGTTCGAGAGCAGTGTCTTCCGCTTAAAACATGCCAATAGGTTTAAGTAAGCTTATTTTATTACATCTGATATTTGCTTCATTATCTTCAAATGTGGAGCATTCCCTTTAATCCTATATTCTGCGCAGATCACCAACTGCAAACTCGTACACGCATACCTTCACGCACACACACACGCACACACAGCCCACACGTAAGCGCACAAGCACAAGCACACGCACACGCAGGTTATCACCTAGTGTCGATGGATTATATCGTACCTACCCACATTTCACCTTCACGGCTGACACTAAAATACTTACGTTGTCCGAAGAAAATGCCGAAGTATTTTTCTGACCACTTTCCAGGGTGTTTCTTAAAATGAAACGATTAGAAGCACAATGGTTGATTTACCAATGTTAAAGGAGTGATTGTCAGGCAGCTTTAGGCTAAAAGATCACCAAAGGCCTAAAATTAACTTCCAAGATAGAAGATGATTTCCTTAATCTTCCTGACGTAGCCTAGGCAGCTGCTTCGGCGACCTCGACAGTTTCATTGGGGAGGCCGTTCCGGAGATAGTCCCGGAGTCCTCGTCAGCGCAGTTCCGGAGGCCGCCTGCGCCGCCGCCTGCACAGCCACCTGCGCAACCGCGAGTTATGATTGCCCCCGACCCCGCCCCAGAGGCCAGAGGCCGGCCCCAGAGGCCAGAGCCCGGCCCCAGAGGCCAGAGCCCGGCCCCAGAGGCCAGAGCCCGGCCCCAGAGGCCAGAGCCCGGCCCCAGAGGCCAGAGGCCGGCCCCAGAGGCTAGAGCCCGGCCCCAGAGGCCAGAGCCCGGCCCCAGAGGCCAGAGCCCGGCCCCAGAGGCCAGAGCCCGGCCTCAGAGACCAGAGCCCCGCCCCAGAGGCCAGAGCCCGGCCCCAGAGGCCAGAGCCTGGCCCCAGAGGCCAGAGCCTGGCCCCAGAGGCCGGAGCCCGGCCTCAGAGGCCAGAGCCTGGCCCCAGAGGCCAGAGCCCAGCCTCAGAGACCAGAGTCCGGCCTCAGAGATCAGAGCCCGGCCTCAGAGGCCAGAGCCTGGCCCCAGAGGCCAGAGCCCAGCCTCAGAGACCAGAGTCCGGCCTCAGAGATCAGAGCCCGGCCCCAAAGGCCAGAGCCTGGCCCCAGAGGCCAGAGCCTGGCCCCAGAGGCCGGAGCCCGGCCTCAGAGGCCAGAGCCTGGTCCCAGAGGCCAGAGCCCAGCCTCAGAGACCAGAGTCCGGCCTCAGAGATCAGAGCCCGGCCTCAGAGGCCAGAGCCCGGCCCCAGAGGCCAGAGCCTGGCCCCAGAGGCCAGAGCCCAGCCTCAGAGACCAGAGCCCGGCCGACTGCGCCGCCTAGCGTCGCGCCACCGACTTGCGCCACCAGTTCAAGCAGTGAAGTATGTTCTGTGAGCTCACCTGCTGTCAGAATCCCGGCCCGCGGATTGTAGGCTGGAGTGATCGTGCGTGCGCCTCCCGCGATCATACCGAAAAGCTTGCTTTCAGATGAGTTAATTTCAACAAATGTTTCCTTTCAATCCAGCTGATGGATGGAGTTGTTTATTTTCACGTCCTCGTAAAGAAGACAAAAGGAAAGATATGTCGGCGGGGTATATCAGCAGTACGAGTGTAACATATCCCTGTTGGTAGTGATTTTGACGCACGAGTACACTCTTTGATCGGCCCACGCCTTTCCCACTACAATGTAGTAAAAGTTCTGGCCAACATTAAAGCCTCTCCCGGTCCAAGAGTTTCTAACATTTTGAACATTTTGTCAGCAGCCAGCGACAGCAATAAAACGAAACCATGCGGGAAGGGCCCGGGTCTCGGCCCACTCGGCCCTCGGGCTACGCCCCTGAACTAGGTAGAAATGTGTGGTTCCGGATGATAACAACATGCAGCCTACGGTCTAACCCACGCCCTGATTTGTCTTCAGATCTTGTCATGTCAGCTTGTTTGCCCCATAAACTATTTTCACCCATTTGTGCTGTAAACCGCATTTACAGTTGCGCGACGGTTCTGGGCCAACCTGCTTCATTGCTCCGGCATTTGAAAAAGAAGGAAAGGAAGATTTGATAAAAGTTGAAAAAGCAATTTTGAAAAAAAAATGCAGGTAGCTCGCGGTTTCTATCTTGATCGAAGTCCACTTCACGCTAAAGGTTCATTATATCAATGTTATTGTGTGCTGCATCAAAATGTACCACCTAAATTTTAAGAGCATGTATACCCACGTTGTGTTTTAAATGTAGTTTTAGCCAATGGTTAATTTTGTTGCTGGATGTCCACTCACGCATCAACAAGCCATGTATCAACTTAAATAATCTGTGGGGAAAACGACAGTTGTAGGCAGAGGCAAAATTTGCGGCGTTCCCATCGAACGAAGTGCTACCTCAAGTAATGTTTTTTATGTTTCAGGTATATGTACGCGAGGGTGACATACCGGCATCCGTTGAAAGCATTCTCATTTCACGGACGAAAAATGTTGTCATCTCCAAGAAGGCACTTTACGACTTCAAGTCATTGAAAACGCTGACGGTTATGGGCATAGAAACTTTGAGGATAGACTCTGAGGGGCTGGCTGGCAACTGGCTTGATGAAGCGATAGTCTCCATTGAAGATATCGGCACGCTGACTGTTGTTCAATACGCCTTCAGCTTCAGCTCTCAGAAATTGGGACCGCGCCTCGCGCTGAGAAATGTCGCGAAATTGTCAGCTGGTCCGAGCTCGTTTGCAGGGGCGTTCGCCCACCTCTCCATGGCGCGTGTTCGCATGACGTCATGCCGGGGTGAAACCTTTGGAGGACGTATTTACCATCTGGAACTGGTAGGTGTGACCATTGAACAACTGGAGCAAGCGTGCGTGAACGCAGCCGCCCGCAGAGCGTGGGCGCTCCTCACAATCCGCTCTTCCAACCTGACGTTCATACAGTCCCTCGCGTTCAACGGAAGCATCAAGGAAATTCGCATCGACCACCTGCACACATCAGTCATGCAGCGCAGCGGCTTCCAACTGTCCGTAAAGAAGCTGAGGATCAACACCGCATTCATCGGTGACTTGAGAAACGGTTCGTTGGACGTGCTGGCCTCCGGAGCGATCTGGATCGACAACACGACCGTCCACATGCTCGGGGGCGGCGCCATGGCGCGCTTGCGGGTGAAGGCGTCGGCCTCGGCTCATGCTCCGCTGCTTTTCCTCCGCGAGTTGCATATCGGCAGGGCCGAAGCCGGGTCGCTGCAGTTCGCTGCGGACACACACGTCTGCCTGGACGGTCTGCAGGTGGACCAGCCCCAGGAGTGCCCGAGCGCGGCGCTGGCCCGGCGGCTGGTGGCCGGCGGTGCGGCCGGCCAGCACAGCCAGGCGGAGCGCCAAGTCCTGCGGCAGCTCCTCGGCAGGGGCCGCTGTGCCACCGACGCCCGCACCTCGGCCGAAATCGCCGGCCACGACCACCGCTGTGCGCTCGTGACGGGACGTCGGAACCAGAGGGTGCCGCAAACCGCGGTCGCGCTGCTGGCGTCGCTGGCGGTGGTGGTGTTGCTGGCCCTGGCGCTGGCGCTGGCCGTCCTCCTCAGGAGGCGCCGCGCTGCGCAGGGCCTCACTAAGACGGCGGCACACCGGTCGCCGCCACGAGCTGGAGGCACTCAGGACGGGGGCAGCGGTCACGGGAGAGACGCCAGGCGGGCGAGGCCGGGTGCCGCTGGGGTCACCAATGCGGAGACGCCCGTGTACGCGGAGGTCGCGAGAAGCCGCCAGCGGACACCACGAGTCGACGTCCCGGTCACAGCTGGCTGGCACTGGCGCACGTCCTACGCAGCCGCTAACGAAGCCCCGCCGCTGCCGCCCGTCTCCAGCCAAAGGGAGCTGCCGCTGGAGGACGGAAGCGGCAGCAGTTCTCATCTCCTATTCCCAGAGCTGGCGTCACACGACGGCGTCCCCGAGGAGGATGACTCGGGGTACGCGGCCGTCGGTGGAGAGTTGATTGGCGGTCGTGCGTAGCCCGCTGAGACTATGACGACTGCTTGGACATGACGTGTGTGTGCGTGATATACCAACCATGCTCATGCATGCACGGTTGCATTTGTTCTCATTTGCACTGCTCGTAATGCGTGGCAGTGCGTTTTGTCGTCCCATTGTTCTGCATGCTTCAGTGGTTGCTTGACACCGCCTTTGACAACTGGAGAAAACGATCTACATGGCTATCAACATCCGACTACTGCTTAGCAAATGCCAACAATATCCGATCTACTGTGCAATTGTGCCGAGCGAGCCATCTCTGCCAGTGATGATGTCAACGTTGTATGGCTGTGGTTTGAGACGCTTTGTTGATCGAGGGATTGACATGGCGATGTGCGAATAAACCGGATTTTGATTTTTCAAAACATTTACAACGCTCTCATCCAAATTACACGTGTGTTATTCTCACACATCAGCACACGAAACGTCTTCCTTCCATATGGCTTTTCGGCATAGAACAGACACTGAAGCACTGTGCGCAGCTACATATTGACACGTAAAGACATCGGCAGGCAGAATAATGACCGGCTAAATACCGAATGCGCAAACATCTGCAACGCAGAATATTGACTCGGAGGATGTCAGCTTTGCAATTCACCGACACGCAAAATATTGACGTCGTAAAATGCCGGTGCACAAATTTTTGCGAAGTGAGATATCGACGCTGCAAGTCACTATTTTCAATTTTCAACCATTTAGAGCACGGACATCGATAACTGTGTAATGAAAAAAGTCACGGATACGGTAGCCAAACCTCTTGTACCTGAACAAGTTTTCTTAGAATGCCCATCTCAGTAAGAATAAGTGTTCAACTATGCGCATGTTGATTTATTGTTACTATAAAGCGCGGCGCGCCTCACTAAGTCTGCTTATGTCTAGCCTTCATCGCGGGCAAAAATAAAACAAGGGGGCGCAGCGCGCTCTGACGTAGTAGCAGTGAGGTTCCAAAATATGCATCTATTTTCTGCTGGTATTGCCACCCGATAAACGGCACCGTGACCATGCAGTGCCGTTTTAAGGACCCTTGACAGAGGGCCCTGGTCCTCATGCGTACTCTTGATGGCATGATAATCATGCGCATGGATGGCTTCATTTCGCACAGTATTTTTGGATAAATCCAACTATGTTTCATTGATAAGGGAGTGTTACACATTTGTCCGTAATTTTGAGCTGAAATATCCGTTTTCAAGATCATTCGATGCAGTTCACAGCCCTGCCCTTCTTAAGACCAAAAATTATTTAGTTTCTGAGCTATACGCCCGCTAATATGCACAGGCTATTTCGTGCACACTATTTCAAGGGCGTCCACACATGCACAACACGGAAAGAACGTCATTCAAAACCTGCCACCCCACAGGCCAGGCGACGCCCAACACCAGGAAAAATGCCATCGTTCTGCCGTTCGGATCTGGCAACCGTAAGCGCGATTTCCAAATACAGTGGACGTCAGTTGGCTCTCAAGCAATGTTGAGCCAACTGTGTAAGTTTCCATCACGAAAAACGCATTGTGATACATAATATAGCAAGTTGGACATGGTTTCTTCACTTGCTAGTTCTTACGGAAATCAGACTTGTAATCGAATGACTCGAGAACAACAACATCATCAAGTGGGTGAACAAAGATTGACAGCTTAAACTAACAGATGAATGTGTAAGCACAAGTACAAGGTGTCCATGTCTGAATGTAAATGTGAATATATATATATATATATATATATATATATACGAATTTACATACCAAGCCGATATAGAAGAAGCCGTCACTAGAGTTCCGCCTCCGCTGCAAAACACGGTCGCTCAGCCGGATATGATGCCACCACAGGGGAAGCCGGCGACACATGACTTCACCGGCGTCTAGTCATCGAACACTCCTGACCTCGTCCGGCCCGCACACCGTTTGTAGTTGGGCGTCCAGTAACGTTATGTTGCACTTGCGACGCTGCATCGACGCTGCGGGGGCGCTCGTCGTTTGTAGCGGTAAGTGAAACTATTCCATCGCCTACAGAATAATATTCACCGATTATTTGATATACCTGGTGGCAAACAATTTTTTTGGTGCTATAAAATCCCGGTTTTTTCATTTTACACTGGCACAGGTATGTCCCAGTCTGACAGTGTCAGGGTAAAAAGGGGTTACCTTACTTAGACATGTCAACTACGTCACGCGCCATGCCGGTGTGTAAATGTTGGTAGGTATTTCAATACATACACCGTTTTGTTTGCATTGTCCCAGGTTGAAAATAAACTATCAAGTTGTGCTCGGCTTTTCGTAATAATACATTGCCTGACCAGACTGGTGCGAAATGAGCCGGAAAAAGTGAAATGAATAATTTAGGACTGCCCTCGTTGACAAAGTTACAAACAAAACATGTTGACAAAACGGTATTAATGGCCTTATGCTTCAAAGAATAATTAGAACAATAGAAAGCTAGATGGGCTGCTATTTCGGCTACATGTCCTCGTCAAATTGAATATTATTCTGATTGATTTCCGTTTTGGTAAAGGCATGAAGCTGAAATATGGATCCATCTATCTCTCCACTCTTTAAGTGATTTCACGAGGAGTAGGGCAATTAGCACTATCTTATTTACATACCCAATGTGTCTTGTAAATGAACTTCACAACCCCTATTACAAAGCATTTTGAGGGCAGTAGGGTAAGCCGGAGGAATTTACCTTTTTTGTTCATTTATTTTACCCTTCATGGGTTCGTCCGTCCCACACTGTATGTGTTGTATAGCAGCCTTCACACAAGATTGATGCGTTACCAACATACCCGTCACCACCCGTCACGGTCAGTTTTAAAGTGAACCACTTATGGGCCTTTTACTCGTTTACATAGGTGCCCTAGGAGGTATTCCAGCCCTTCATGTATTAATCTTGCATGGGGTTATTTTGCAACATGTACCATCAGATCTATATAACCATATCCAAGCTCATCTGAGAACGGTGTGTGCATACAAACGTCTATCTCGCTCATGCTGAAAGGCTAAATAGGTTCAAATGGTTATCAGGTACCTGTGTAGGGTACATGTCAAAAATGTTGGGGAGGCGCCATTCGTGTCATATTTCTTCGACAACTCGCTATTTCGCTCTCCTCTGTTTGCGTGTCTGAGCGTGCTCCAGCCAAGTATTTATGATGTTATTTGTCTTTAAATTACATACACAGCAACATACACATACACATGTTCGCAACATGGCACATACAATTGTATAACAGGATTCCTCAACCTGACTTTACCCCTAATACGATGGTAGCATACTGCCCATTCTCGTTTCCATTTGGACTCACGCAACGCAGCTGACCCCGGAAAAAACCGGAACCTGGGACAGCCTTTCCGTAAAAGAGATGGACCATGACCGCGCCCACGTCTCTCTAATGGACTTCTGAGAAAGAAGCATTGTCCTAAGACTTATGTGGTCTTTTCGATGAGATATCTGTGCGGGTGGCTTTTTGATACAGCTTGCTCCCTCATAGGCAATCCCAAAGTCAATATTTTTGTTTGCAAGCCTGACACAGCACATGTATCATCAAAATATTTCAAAATACGCTGGTAGTACACGCAAACCATAGAAAATCGAGGCAGTGTACAATTGTGTCTGCCAGCTGCTTGGCAAATATGTGCGTACCTGCCATAAAATGCGTGCACTTACACTGCGTTCATGAGGCATGTGGCCATACGAATGAATATACAATCTCTATTCACCGGTAAACGCGATGGAAGTGTGCTGCACAGCATTGGACAGCAGGAACAGCAGCACAGCTATCAATTGCCCTCCTCACACAGCAGCTGCCAGCTAAAACGACAGCATGCGACCGCCTTTGCGCAACTAATTTCATTGAAATTTCGACACATCAGGTGTATCTGAATGCGATGCAGTCACCTTATTCAGCATCGCTGTTGCGTACGGTTCAGGAGCGGCAAGCAAAAAAGGCAAGGGGAGGGCAAATTCGCCCCCTATGCGGGAACACATTTTTTATAGTGATGGGAATACACATCGCCACCAACATAACGCACGACGAAACATGAAAGTGGTCAACGATTCTTACCTTAATACAGGAGCAGACTTTTACGCACTGAAAAAAACAAATGTTGACTGTCAGCGGTATGCTTTTTTCTCACTCCATCATCTTGGCTTAAAGGGAATGTTCCACATTCGAAAATATTGAAGAAAGCATCAGCTATTATAAAACAAGCTCACTCCTAAATATAAATATGCGTTGAAGTGAAACAGACTGCCCTAGTCAACACAAATTCCCTTTTTAGTAAACATGTACCGTAATACGTCATTGTTTGACAGTGTCTTGGAAAGTTTGCATGACGTTGAAGGGCTGCCAAACTAGCCGTGCGAAATCGCTCCCCCAGTACCCATTTGTAGCGCCGAATTCTCTCGAACGGTGGTCGTGGCGATGCTGGATGTGTTTGGTGGACCAAATATCGGTATGTGCTCGTGTTTTGGCCCTTCCTTGTGAAAGGCTTGCATATTCATCCGTTAGTTTACCATGTCAATCTGTGTTCACCCACTCGGTAATGTTGTTATGCTCAAGTCATTCGATTACAGGTCTAATTTCCGTAAGAACTAGCAAGTGAAGAAACCATGTCCAACTTGCTATATTATGTATCACAATGCGTTTTTCGTGACGGAAGCTTACACAGTTGGCTCAACATTGCTTGAGAGCCAACTGACGTCCACTGTATTTGGAAATCGCGCTTACGGTTGCCAGATCCGAACGGCAGAACGATGGCATTTTTCCTGGTGTTGGGCGTCGCCTGGGCTGTGGGGCGGCAGGCTTTGAATGACGTTCCTTTCGTGTTGTGCATGTCTGGACGCCCTTGAAATAGTGTGCACGAAATAGCCTGTGCATATTAGCGGGCGTGTAACTCAGAAATTAAATAATTTTTGGTCTTAAGAAAGGCAGGGCTGTGAACTGCATCGGATGATCTTCAAAATGGATATTTCAGCTCAAAATTACTGAGAAATATGGAACACTCCCTTATCAGTGAAACACAGCTGGATTTAGCCAAAAACATTGTGCGAAAGGGAGCCATCCATGCGCATGATAATCATGCCATCAAGAGTACGTCACAGAACGGCCAAGCCGCCCAATGTCGGTACCCTGTATTTACGGCCTTGTATGAGCAGGCATTTCACTCTGCCCCGCCCACAGTCGTTCGCCAGCAGCTGACGCGGTGCACAATGCTGGCGTCGCGCGGCGGACGTGGGGCCCGTGCGCCGCCCGGATAGCCGTATATGGTCACGACGCGACGCTGGCGGCCGGCGGTGAATGTGCCGCGTGAGTCAGCTGAGTCAGCGCCTCTCCTGGCCGGGGCCGGGCGGGCCCATGGCAGGATGTGGCTCCGGCGCGCTGGCGGCCGCGCAGAGGCGTGCCACGCTGCAGGAGCTGCTGCCCGCTGCTGTTATTAGTTGCCTGTGCGTGATGGGTATGAGAGGGGTCGGCGTGCTTCCCAGGGAAGGTCAGCGGGATGACAGAAAGCACCGCGTAACGTACCGCAACCGCACGTCTGTTCTGACAGGTTGAGGGATCAGCCGATCTTGCAAACTGTGCAAACTTTCTGGGTGTTTTGTCGTTGAAACATTTCTTAGCAGACCTTTGGTATCTTGTTACATTTGTCTGCCCGCTTACATGTACCTGCCTAACAGCGCGCCTAACTGACCGGATTGTCGTGTGATTATTATCCAAACCATCTTGGTGTAACGCAGCGAGGGGCGGGGTCTTCTCTGTAGGCTCAAAGCCCCAGAAGAGAGTAAATGGAACCCAAAATGTTAGAGGTCTCAGACATCCTCACGCCTCTCGACAGCCCATGAAGGCCCAGACGGCAAGCCAGGGGTCCCACACATGCTCACGCCCCTCTCGACAACTTATATAGCCCCAGACGGCAAGCCGGGGATGCCAGACATGCTCACGCCTCTCTCGACAACTTATATAGCCCCAGACGGCAAGCCAGGGGTGCCAGACATGCTCACGCCTCTCTCGACAACTTATTTAGCCCCAGACGGCAAGCCGGGGGTGCCAGACATGCTCACGCCCCTCTCGACAACTTATATAGCCCCAGCTGGCGGGTTTCAGTCAGACTTCCTGGGTCAGAATGGGTCAACTTCCCGGGGCAGCCAAGCCAGCGCCGCGGAGACCGACTCGGTAGGGACGGCGGGTCCCACACTGTGCGGACCGGCCCGGTAGGGACGGCGAGCCCGTGCTGTGTGGACCGGCCCGGTAGGGACGGCGAGCCCGTGCTGTGCGGACCGGCCCGGTACGGACGGCGAGATCCATGAGATGCGGCTTACCGACCCAGCCCCAGCCCCGCAATCTGTCAGGTCCACTGCGGGCAGAGGTCGCAACAAGGCCGATGGGAAGATACGAACTAACGGCCTTTCGAAAGGTGATTGGCGTTTTTCCAGCAGTCCGATTCGATCATGCGCACAGCAGCTCTACCAACGCCTTACGCCAAATGAATGCCTACCCGGTAGTCCCGGGTAATCTGCTTACCCCGTTCCCGCTACATTATCCCATAGTTGCGGCTATAACGTAAACGGCTGGAAGATGGGACTATTTGGCCCACAAACAGATCATCGCTGATCACCGTGAACACTGATTTATGCATTGGTCGATGGATTTCTGGAGAAACGTCTCGTCCTTGTTGCTTCGCGAATTCGGCGAATCGCATCCCACCATTCCACCCAAAACAGAAAACGTCTAGAAAAGTATATTTTTAATTTAGGCCGTCCTCTGCCAAAAACAGTCGTCCTGGCGCTACAAAAGTGATTAGCACAACACAGCAGGATTGGCGACCACAACCGAGGAATGTGTTGCTAGCCCCGGGATTCGGCGAGCACGCGTCCGACCGCCCCAGGGGTACACCTTGTCCGAATCGACGCAAAAGGCACGGCTTCCAGCGGGCCTGCGGGGCTGCAGGCGACAAGGTCATCTGCAAACAGCCGGGCCACAAGAGGACCGCCAGAGACGCATAAAGTACGACCGAACCGGAAAACGTGAATAATAAATATCGCACAGGCCTGTTAGTCGACACAAGCATTAACGACTCGTCGCTCTCCCGCCCACGTTTCCTGCCGATGGACCGCAAGCAGGGCGGGTGGCTGGCCGGGCCGGCGTAGCCAGGCGGCGGCCCGCCGCGGCCGACGGTCCGGCGCCCGCTAGCTGCGAAGACTCTCAGCACCTGGCCGGCGAGCGGCCCGCTCCAAGACGGCGAACTGGGGCGCCCGCGATGGCGGGACCCGGGCGCGGCGCTCGGCTCCGTGCCGCGCCACACCCCACACCGGGACAGACTGCGATTACGGATCAGAGATAGCGTGGCGTCGCTCCGTTCACTATCCGACGGCGGCGCGGACCGCGAGCGCGGGCGGTGGGGCCGGCCGTCCGGCACCCGGCCGCGCAGCGCGCCGCCGCCCGCGGCCGTCACGCCTCTAGCCGCTCAGCACCGAGTGCACGAACTCCTCGTAATTAACGTTGCCTTGCGAGTCCTCGTGGCCGGTCATCAGCTGCTCCACCTCTTCGTCGGAGAGTTTCTCGCCTGCGGTAGACAGAGCGGTCAGGAGGGCGGTCCCGCACCGGCGGCAGGGTCGTCGCTACCTCCCGGCGGCTGTGCACGGCTTGCAAACACCGGTCCAGTGGCCCTCGCGCCATAAAACCGCAAAACCGCAGAGGTCGCCCACCTGCACCGCGCATCGAAGCCGTGAAAGCCCGACATTGCTGGCCTCTGGCCCTCCTTTCGACACGTTTTCAGGACCAGACTAGGGTCAGCGAGAGCGTAACCAACAGCCCCGGTCGGTCGGTGTCGTAACCGGAAGGAAGGCGTCAGGCACACCACTCGGTGCATATGCCATCCCTGTTATTCTAAAATGGTCGGTCGAAGTAATTTATGACCCGTACGAGGAAAACGGCCTTCACAGACAAGACAAGCTGTGTGGCAGACGTTTCCAAAAAAGGCCATGCTAGCTGGTGATACACTTCCACTCAGGGTGGCAATATTCTGACACTTGGGTAGCAGGGATGTCGCCACTGCCCTTGGCCTAGCCCACGATCCGCCAATTAACAACGGGCCATGCGGCGCAACCTAACACCAAGACGCCTCGGGCTTGGTAAATTGGCCGCGCAGGTCAGATGTCAGGGTTCGGGGTCAAGGGGCAACGGATTAGAAGCCATGCCGTGCCTGCGTAGTCCGCTGGGATCCACAACTTTGACAAAATGAGGTTGCACTTACATCCTGCACACGTAACTGGCTGAATTTTAGAACGCAAGGCTCACTTGCCCGAGTGCAGTCCGGAACTCACATGAGTGCCACACTGCATGTTCATACGTCTGCATGCACAACAAAAGGCTATCGGAAGAGGCCAGAAAATGCATGGTACCCCTGGCAAAAGGAACAGCAGCCACAAAAAAAAACTGAAAAGCGCGTTCTTCGACCACCGCCATCTTTCCTACCAGCCAACTAAAATTGGCTATTATCGCGCCACCCGCGAATTCCTGTCGGCACCCTAACTCCGCACTGTCTGTACACGATCAAACCACCAATTATCAACTGGCGTAGAGGACGTTTACCACCCGTAATGATGAGGATTCTAGAACTCGAGGGACGGGGTAGGGAGGGGAAACCACCTGTCCCGTCTTCTTTCTCAGCACAACAGAGAACACAAGAACAAATACAAATGAAAATTTGTTTAAGGGTAAGGTAGGTGAGAGCATCAAACATTCTCAACATACATGAACTGAATTCCCGCGCTAACATGAAAAGATGAGTTCTAATATCGCTAATGACGTCATGCTTGACGAGACAAAAACGCACACCTTTTTCCCAGCTGCTCAACCCATCACTTCAACTTGTCGTTCAAAACAGACCAAGCTACCCGAAAGTAGTGTAGCGGGAGGCGCCTCCCCCCCCCCCCCCCCCCCCACGCGCCCGGACCCCGCCGCGACGGGCGGCAGACCACCTACCCAGGGTGGTGAGCAGGTGCCGCAGCTCGGCAGACGAGATGTAGCCGTTGCCTTCTTTGTCGAAGTGGCGCAGGCCCTCGATGAAGTCGTCGGCGGTGTCGGCCGACTTCTGCTTGGTGATGGTCTGCATGATGGGCAGGAACACCTCGAAGTTGATGCGGTCCTCTGGGAAGACAGCGGCCATGTCAACAACGCTCGCTTCAAGACTGTGCAGACTCCAATGATCTGTGGCATTGGAGCAGCCCACACCGCGTCGGGGTCTGCACATTCGTCACGCAGCCGGCGGGGGTTCAAAGCCCACAGCTAGCGATACTTATCTGGCCGGCGAAGGGCATGTTCGCAACACGCAGCCTTATGGCGCTGGCGTAAGGTACAATGAATGTTACTCCGGTGGCGAGTGATTCAAAAGAGCCACACAGTGCGCCGCGGACAGGACTGTTTACTAGAAGTTCGAGTCGTCGTGACTAGGATAACCACAAACACGATTAATCTCAAAAACTCAGACGGGATTACTGACCACAGAAAACTGTCAGTTAAACAGTATCTGCAAACATCGCAGCAAGCCCTCTCTCCGCGAGGCGTGGCGCCGCCGGGCTGGTGCTCACCTGGCCGGTGAGACTGGCACAGCTTCTTCACCTCTGCCTCAGTGGGGTTCTGCCCTAGGGCACGCAGCACATCGCCAATCTGGGCCACATGGATCTGGCCATCCCCCTTGTTATCAAATATTTGGAATGCCTCTTGAAACTCTGCAAGGAAAGTTTTGACATGTCACATATTGGCTTTGAGCAATTTAGGTTGAAAACAAAACAGCACAGCTGATTCATAATGCTAGGAGTGGGGCTATTAGTTTCATATCCAGTCCCAGGGAAAAGTTGTACCCTCACACATCATACCTCAGCAGCATGCAGTTAACTTTATGGCCTGGAAATCTATAATTGCAATACAAGGTGACAGAGTAGTTTACACAAAAAGGTACAGATACAGAGAGCAGTAAGGCCAATGAATGCTTTATTCTTATTTCCATAAAAAATCATGCTCGCCCTCTGACATAACACTGCCAACAGAATGGCAATGATGACAAATCTGCAGGCCACTGATCATGCTCTGGCATATCAGAGGGCAGAGTAGTGGTTTTGCCACATCAGCTGCAGGGCTCAACCCAAGGTCAACTTGCTAAGCATCCAAACTGTGTGCTCCTCCCTGACTTGCCCATTTTTTGTCATTTGAAGAAAAGTATACCAATCATGCATACATTCCTTACTCTTAGTTGTTAGTTAAGGGCCAAGCAGCAGAACATGACCAGGAAATGAGCAAGGTTCCATATACACAACATTGACTTTAAAGTGATGCTATTCTCCAGTACATTCAAATTTCTTCAAACATGATGACATCTTCGGCAGGGAGTGCCGTCACATTGGTGGAGCTCAGCTGCCTGCTGTGAGACCAGGCTGCCAGCTGAGAGGCTCAGCTGGAAGCTATGGGAAGACTTGAACCCCTCCCCCTCCCCCACCACACAACATGTTGGTGGCCATGAATTCCAGGATTGGGTGGTTGGACTTAGACTAAGCATGGGTTTAATGAATCCATCCCAATCAAAACAATATTGAAAAATTAACATAGGAGTATGATTGTTTTGCACACCAATTTAAGATGGGTCATGAGATGGATGACTTTATGGAAGGATGGTGATGATGGAATGGATGATGGAATGTTAATGAACAGATGATGGAAGTTTAGCAAGACAGTCTTTTAACAAAATCTAAAAAATAGTTTGCTTAATTAGGTGGACTCTTGCCTGACTTATTTGATATAAAATAAACAAAGGCAACTTATCTAGGAGCATTAGTGACTTGGATGAAAGGCATATTTGAAATATCTCAGAGATCCGCATGTCCACGATGATAGGACAACATTTCCTATCTTCCCATATATGATCATAAGTGGTCTAAATGATGATGATTTTGGGTTTTAGGGCATATCAACTGCTGTAGGTCATGCAGCGACCCTAAGTGGCTTAGAGTTGGCAGCTCAAGCCTCCCAGCCTGACCCCTTCATACTGCACTGGCTAGGTAGCTCACATTGTAGGATGGATTGAAAGACTAGGTGAGCCATTTGTGAACCATACATTTTTCAAGCAAATGTTACTTAATTCTGATCCTGCTGCAAACCAAGTGCATAAATGATTAATTTAATTTGGCTTAGCAGTAACATTCCAATGTTGATACAATGTGGGCCAAAATAGATCTACTTATAAAGCTGTAATAAACTTTTCTGGAGTCAAGCACAAGTATGCTTACAAGTGCAGTCACTTGACCTTACCTGCGATCTGATCCTCATTGTAGGCAGCCTGAAACAACAAAAATACACTTGGTAATGGTGTTCCACCAGTTTAAAAAAACTTATTTCAATGAACTGTGGATGGTTGTAGGTAGACCATGCACCAAGACATAGCTGGCTCTTACCTTCCACTTGTACTTGGTGACCAAAGAAAAATTGCCTGCTAGAAGTATGCTGATTTCAAATTTATGCATGTTAAGTATATTTCCTACAAATGTCATACATAAAGATACAGTTTTAAGACAAGACAATGACAGTTTTGATAACACTGCAGCCAAAATATCAGTATGTATTTTTTCCTTTTTCCTGGTTATTCTATATAGAATAAGGCTAACAGTAGTCTTTCTTTTAGTGTTAGCAGAGACCCAGGGCAAAACTTTGAGACTAAAAATACTGTCATAGCCAAGGTAACTAATGCTGTAGGAGCATGGCAGACAAGCAAACATGACACTGAGAAATGGATAACCTGCATCATTGCAAAAATGTAGATAAAACCCACATCCCCAAGAAGTTGAGCACATTCATTAAGCTCTGAATCACATAGCATACACATGATGTCATTGAAACATTCTCTGTGTTCTCTGGCATATACACTCTGTGGTAGTAGTGCTGATCATGGTTACTTTGAATTTACACACATTCCATGACTTTTTTACATTTTCCCCACAAGACATCCTTTTTCATGACTGGGTGTAACATTATGGACATATTTTGCTACCAATCAAAACAATATTTTCACTGCTTTTAATGGTAGCAACCAAAATTTCACAAGACTTGTTTTGGCATTTAGCCCTTCATAATCCTATGCCATGGATGATTTAATGACCAATTCATAAGCAGATTATGTGTGGCCACCACCCAATCCAGTCTCACGTGATGTGGCACAGAATATGTGATGCCCAGCTCAGTGCTAGTTGATAAAATATTTCCATGGTAAAGATCCCCCAAGATGTCCAGTACCAAGATTGCATGCTACACACACTGCCAACATAAGCATTCCTAACGTGACCCACTTTACGGTGGGTCATATTACGGTACTAAACGTCCCACACCACACGCCAGCATACCAAAACAGCCCCACAAACCCACACACGCAAAAAGATGTCAGGAACTATCTCAGATGCAGCCATCTGGATTTCACACCATGTAATTTTGGGCAAAACCTGCCACGATCCGCCTCACTCAAATGACAAAGAACGGACGGGCCACTCCCTTCACAGTGACCGCCAATCTCCAAGGTGTCATCCGCCATTCGGCATAATCCCACAGCTACACACGTCACACATGCCAGTCTCTTCAATTTGCTTGCTCGGCAGTGGCATTTGGAAAAACACCTACGTACCATTTTCATATCTGTATCCGACAAGTACACGCCCAACAGCTCAGCGCTCCGCGGAGATAGCCTCACTCGACAAGCGAGAGCACCAATGAGACGGGCATCAACCGAAGCAAAAACTCATTGCGACACAAGCACGAGGCAAGATTAGGGTGAATTGGACTCTCTCGAGCTCATATGGTAGCTGTGACGTCAGCCAGGCACTATTTTTGCTGTGCAATCTATTTCAGGTTCTGTACTAGACCATGCGGTTGTCAAAGGCGAATTTATGCTTCAGTTAACGGGAACCGCACGGCATGCTGGAACCCCACCGCTACAAAACTTCCTCGGTTATGGCCAAATGATATTTGGTTTTGAACCTTATGTGCGAGAATTATCTTGCTCTGTGCAACGCATCCCCCCCCCCCCATTATTAGGGGAGTAATATACCGCACCACACAGAGTGCAATTAGAGAGAACGTGATACTTGCTCCATGGTAACAGCCAGTGAAACACAGGGGTGCTAGATATGGAGCGATGACGACACTGGCCAATGCTGGACGGAAAGAGGTAGGAAGGATGCAAAAGGTAAGGTTCATGTTGTAGCTGGGCGAAGGATGAAAAAACATATTTCTCCATACCTTTTGCTCTTGATCATATGGGGAGGGCCAAATAACAACACCTAACATTATATGCTGTCATGCAGTGTCCCAGCCAGCATTTTATCGTGGCTCCGGCTGGTCCCTCACGGAGTAGATTGAGTGGGCGGTGATACAATGCCCAGCACGGCCCCAAATGCCCGTTGTAACATTTTTTATGACGGGCTGCGGCCTGCCCATGCCCCCCTCCCCCCTCCTCCGATCTCGGTCTAGCTACCTGCGGCCTGAGGACTAGTTGTGCAGCACCTAAGCGCACATCGGGAAAATGTCAGGATATCGGCGTGGTCTGGGCAAGCGCTGGGCTCCAGCTAAGACCCTGTTTGGCCCCATCTAATAGAAACCCTGTATACCAACTGGGTACAAGTCTATATCAGGGATGGGCCGAGCAAGGATAACGTGAAGCAGAGTGGAGTGCAGGGTGGGTCCGACAAGGGCGCGAGCTGAACTCTGGGCTTGCTGGGTTCTGACAGGGCGCCAGCTGGGCCCTGGCTGCGCAAAGCCGGGCTACTCGGTTCTCGGTTTTTGTTCATAACACCTGGAACGCGTAGAGCATCCCACGCAGTGCAATGGTTGGCGTAACATTTGTGGTACTGGTTAAGACAAAACTTGCCTTACAGTTCAAGATTTGGGTAGCATTTGGAGACCTTGGATGCGTTTAATGAGAGCCATCACACTCGTTCGACCATTTCACCAGGCCACTGAGGTCAACCTAAAGAAGAAAAGCGGCGGGGGGCCTCGGAGCAGGACAGTACACCTTAGTATTATCCGCGGGGGGCCTCGGAGCAGGACAGTACACCTTAGTATTATCCGCGGGGGGCCTCGGAGCAGGACAGTACACCTTAGTATTATCCGCGGGGGGCCCCGGAGCAGCACAGTACACCTTAGTATTATCCGCGAACATCTTGGCCGCGCTTTGCACTTCTGGTAAATCGTCGATAAAAATAATGAGCATGGTTGGTCCTAGCGCCGATCCTAAAAGGGAGCCGCTGGCGACGTCGGTCCAGTCAGTCCTCAATCCATGGACTCGAGCCCACTGCTTTCGGTTGAAAGCAGACTTACTTTATAATTTGCTCTGCAACTTAAAAGAGCTGCATGATGCTGTAGTTCATTTATTGCCCAGATCCAAGTATTCTGTCTTCAAAGGTCTACCAGCATTTGCAGACTGGCGTGGCATAAGGTCGAGCTGATATGGCAAAGAAAAATGCGTGTTTTTCACAATAGCATTATCAGACAGGGGTCTTATTTTGTGTCAGATCTGAGGTGTACGAAAGCTGAGATAAACAGCAGCGAGGCGCATCGCTTGTCGTCCGTCTATTAAAACAGACTGTACATGTTACTTTGAAAGCGATGCAAAAGCTACATTCAATGTTACCAGCAGTCAGTAACCCCATTGCAATGTGACATTCTTGGGTGTTACAAACAAATGGTCGGTGGGCAGGAACAGGTCATGTGCCGCCCGTTACACGGCCGTGGGCTACCGTCTGGTGACCAGGCGCCGGTTGGGGCTTTATCAGTCATGTGTCACCGGTCGGAGACTGTCCCTGTGGTGGCATCACATCACGGCCGTGGGCTACCGTTTGGTGACCAGGCGCCGGTCGGGGCTTTATCAGTCATGTGTCACCGGTCGGAGACTGTCCCTGTGGTGGCATCACATCACGGCCGTGGGCTACCGTCTGGTGACCAGGCGCCGGTCGGGGCTTTATCAGTCATGTGTCACAGGTCGGAGACTGCCCTTGTTGTCGCTGTCTGGTGACCAGGCGCCGGCGGTGCTTTATCAGTCAAGTGTCACCGGTCGGGAACTGCCCTTGTGGTGGCATCACATCCGGCTGAGTGTCGGTGTTTTGCAGCGGCGGCGGAAGCCAAGCGACGAGGGCAGTGGTTGCGTTTCTCATGGCACGTTTCATGCACTTTGGTGTGTTATTTCAAATTCGAAAGTGTTTGCTTAGTTCCATCCTTCACTCTTGAAGAATACCACTTGCGCCTATTCTTCGATGTGGTAATTGCCAGTTGCATATGACTGAGCAGACCATGATCAGGCAGAATACTCAGACAAAACCCCGAAAACGACGTCTGCTGCTCGGCATTTCAACTGTCCGCGAAACAGCATAGTTCGGCACTGCGGCGAGCAACATCCCTTCTATTTATTACCACTTGTTGGCGAGCATGTTCCTCACAAGAAGGGAAGTTATCTAAAAGAATGTTTTAGTTGACGCATTGCACCCACTAAAATTTAGTATATTCGTAAGCATCCGTGATTTGATATGTCTCCTATGTTTTCGTTAAGATGGTCACCCAAAATAATAAATTGATCGCACTTAGGCCTCTATTTGTGATGATACCACATCGTGTGCTCCTGGTGATCGGCAGAGCTCCTAGTCTGCACTTTCTCAGAAGGTTGCTCAACACATGCTACCGTTGAGTTGGGCTAGACTGGCCCCACCAGTTCACTGCGGAGAACCAGGCGAAACAGAAAGTGGCACTCGGTTTCATGGTTACTTCAGACGGGCTTTTGTGCACCGAGAAGACGCATCCTACCATGGGCTGCTAATTTGTGATGTTTCAGCGGCCATGAATGAGTACCAAGAAACTGCAAAGGCAACCTTGGAAGAGATCGACGCTGCCATCTCCAAGTCTTCAAGGGCCACGGTATCATGGAAAAGATCGCCCCTGCCATGCCCAAGTCTTCAAGGGCCACGGTACCGTGGAAGAGATCGACGCTGCCATCTCCAAGCCTTCAAGGGCCATGGTACTGGGGAAGGGGGCGCCTCGTCCGTATGACGGGAGTGAGCCAAGCGTTCAAGGGCAAGGGCTTCTCCATTGAAAAAGCTCAAGTACGTGATGTCATTTTGCTGTGTTGCGTTGAGCTACGAAACTCGGGTCATATTGAGTATCACTGTAGGACAATTTCTTGCCCATGTACTGTCGACTTGCACTCAATCTCATATTTCGGCTGGCATTGATCTTGATATAAGGGCATGATGTTCAGGCCTGAAGTCATATACTACAGTCATTAGCTTGTGGCAGACCACTGGTCACGACATCGTTAATAACCTTACGTCATACTTTCCAAAGCTCACGTTTGAAAATTGCTGAGCCTATAAACCTGCGATCTGTTTAATGGGAATAAATGAAAGGATACTTTAAAAGATGCACTTTGCAACCACTAAAAGAAAGTCTTCTACTGGCTCGGATCAGACGCTATAAAGTATTGATCGCAGTTTGTTGCTAATTCTGAACGTGGAGTAGGGTGTGGGTGAGATTAGGAGTTATACAGATATCGAGGAAAGTTCTAGTATGGTTAAAATCATGCGGTTGTGAATTCATGCGCGTTTGGAGGTCCCAATTTATTACCAAATGGTAGTTGGAAACCAGGCTGCAAGTTTATCAACGTTCTGGTAGACCCTACCAAATGATGGCATTGTTAGCCAAAGCAACCCTAAACGCCATGATCGCTATTGAGAAACGGGTGTCATCAAATTTTGTTTTTTGCAATAGGAGGGCAGCATATCAGATCTGATTTCTAGAATGCAGTGAAATGACAGTGTCTGCAAAAATGGAGTGTTTTCCAAATCTGACCAAACATCAAGTACATTTGCAGTGTTGTATGACCTTTTCAGATAAAAAAACATTAGCTTTTAGGGTTTGGACCGTTTTGTAAGCATGTTTAGGGCAGGATATGTGTCTAGACTAAAATAGCTCAGTGCCAGGGGTCAGCGTCTCACTTTAAACGGAATGTGCTTCGGCAAGGCGAGGCTAACACATAAATCTTGAAATGTAAAGCAGCTTTGGCCTCAACCCGACACTAAATACTAATAACCAATGCTAAAAATGCTACGTCAACCATCGCACTGCGTGACATGCACTGCGCACTCCAGGTGGTATGGACAAAAAGTAAATTGGCTTGAGCCAGACTGAGCCTCACCTGGGCAGTCCGGTTTTGCACAGCCAGGACCCTGAACTAGATGATGACATGCGTGCCGTCGTCCGATCGTGTAAGAGATGTCAGAAGCTCACGGGCACAACTTCAGGGGCACCATTGCACCCATGACAGCGGCCGCCACTACCCTGGGAGCGGGCTTATCTAGATTGTTGTGCGGCAAACTGATGTTTCCGATTTTAGTCGACACTGACTCTAGTGAATCGATATTTATCCAACACTGCCGTCTGTTTCCGAGGTTAGCACTGAAAAGCTTCCCGTGAATTTTGCGAACTGGGGAGCCCCAAAAGCGGTTGTGACTGACAATGCGCAAGGTTTTGTGCCGAAACAGTTCGAAACATCTCTTGAGGTGAATGGCATCCGTCCGGAGCCGCCGCTAGACTAGCACTGGACGGTCCGCCAGCCGTGCCCGCACCCAGGTGACGCTTCCTCTTCATCCGGCGACATGCCATCAGCTGCCTCCCTCACGGTGGCAGGGCGCCGTGATCGCCGCCGCGGGAAGCCACCGCGCCGGTCCGGGCCCCGAGCTCACCGGTGTCCAG